ATATAGATATATATATATATAGATATATATAGATATACAGTACTTTGGCCTGGTGGGGACAGTCCCCACTATTAATTTCAATACATAAACTTTGGCAATATGTGGGACAAATGTCTAAATGTGATATTCCTGCTTTTGAAGGAGGATATTCCCTAATGTAGCTGAAAGGGAAAACATACATCAATCATTATACTGTATATTGCTGTTAGCTTCGAAATCGGCTGTTATTCATCCTTTTTTTTTTTATACAATAATGTCCAACTACCCATAAATATAGATATCAGTGTATTTTGGTTATTTTGTGTTCATAACAATAGGAAAGCATTAATAAATATATGTTTGATCTTTGGGAAATACAAACCAACCAACTTTCAAAAAACACAGATGTTTTCCCTATTCATAGGGCATATATTTCTAAAGACCTTTATATGTCATTTGGAGACTAGATTCTGTTTCCTACTTGCATATGTAAACAAAACAGGAAGTCCAGTCTAATAGAGGATGGAATTTCCTCAGAAAGAGGACAACGACCCATGACAAACAGAGACAGCCCATGCCAGGATTAAGCTTTACACTTTCCCACTCCCTGACTGGTGGCAGAGAGAATTGTCATAATTAGCAGTAAAATATGCATTAACTATATCCCTATGTCTGACCATGGCACAGTGCCTGAAAGGAAATGCAAAGTAAATGAATTCATCTCTCAAGATAACTGTCTTCTGAGTCTGGTGTTTATTTTGCCAACTAAAAATACCAGACAGTGTCAAACACTCTGAACATGATGAATACATTTTCCCTTGATGTGTTGATTTAAGCTCTTTGGTAGCAGCTTCAGTGTTTCTCTGACTTATTAAGAGAGAGGGACCATTCAGAGGCTTAGGTAAACTGTAATGAATGCATCCCTGATTGCAAGGCGTCTGCAGCTCAGGTAGGTACACCTTTATTCATGGATTCAAGGAAAAAGAGAGGAGAAGAAATGCAGTGCAGGACTTACTGTTGAGCGCGGTGATCAGCATGTTCCCGTCCTTGATGAGCTCCTTGATGAATTTATTAGTCCGTTCCAGCTCTATTTCATGGTATTTGAGGCGCTCCCTGAAGTCTGGGCTATCCAGAAAGGAGTCACTGAACTCCAGCGCTGGTAGTCCCATTGTCCACAGTAACTGCGCCAAACTTTTTAACTGCTGGAATAAAACTTTTTCCACCCTTCACATCACGCAGCACAGACGTGGATGCAAACTTCTAAGAGTTGTCTAAAAAGCGGGTTTCCTGCCCTACTTTGTTCCCTACTTCCGCTTTAAAAACGCTCAGCTTTTTTTTCCACCGCTACCTTTTTCTTAGAAATAGTGGTCGCATGACTCCTGCTGGTTAGAGTTAGATATTTAGGCACAGCTGGATCAACCCACCTCTAAGGTTACATCTGGAGTCAATTGCATGGATTTGCTGCAGATCAAAAACCGATACGTTAATGATAATATTCTATGTATCAATGTATGAAGGTAGATTTGGTTCTTTGTCATTCAATCAAAAAAAGGGTTGCTTTAGTCAAAAAAATATTTTCAATAAAAGAAAACTTCACTTCAAGGGGGAAAAAAAACTTTTCAATTAGAGAAAAGTATTTAAATGCAAAAATATATTTAATTGAACATTTTTTTTGTGATGGAAGTTCAGTCTTTTTTTGTTTAAAGCAACTTTTTTGGACCATACATGGGTAGGACATTTGTGTCTTAATAATTCAATTCCCAAAAAGTTGTTTTTATCAATGAGTGATAAAGAAACAAATCTACCTTCACATAAATATAGTCTATTTACGCACTGTGCGCAGGTTAATAAAAGCATAGTTGGAATAAAAATAAAACCGATTGCAACAATATAAAATAATCTATTAATATTATATAAACAAAATATATATATATATATATTTAAATATTCTTATTGGATTTTTAATTGTCCAGATGACATAACAACCAAACAACAGTCCCAGCATTAACAATGAATTGCAATAACATAGGGGAAATAATGTAAAACAAGTAAAAAAAAAAAAATCATCAACAACAACAAAAAACAAAAGGAATAATATATAAAAATAAGAAATTTGTGAGAAGAAAAAAATAAAATAAAATAATCATAATAATAGAAATGAATAAATAAATTAATTTCGACATGTTGCAGTAGGATTACAGAGCCTCACTCAATTCTGTTCCAGTTTTTCGGGCAGTTTTTCCAATTGAAAATTATTTATTTTTTTATTAATTAAAAAAAAAGATGAAAATAATGTAGAAACGGCTGCCAGACCTAGAATCTTAATATTATAATGATAAATATACAAAAGATATGCAGTTTGCTGTTTTTTTTTCTTCTAATTGTGCCTATATACACTCTGAAAACTGTTGAAGTAAAAACAACTCAGTTTAATGTATTTTACAAATTTTATTTTACTAACCTAGCCCTGGATAAAAATATAGATAAGTCCAGTACAAGGAAACACACCAACTGAAGTCAGCTTTCAGACGCACAAAACTGCCAGAGCAAAATCACCATAAAACAGCCTATCCAATAGTTTGGATCATGGGGGTAATTTTGGGGGGGTACAGAGGGAACATGTCCCCTGCACTTTTTCAAAAGACTGATTTGGTCCCCTGTACATTTTAAGGCAAATTTATACTTCCGACCCATAGCCCCTGCAACTGCCAAATCTGTCTTTGTGCGCGACCACAGAGGTTCGCAGAGGTTCTGCAACCGTCGTCGCGCACCTCAAAAAAATCCTCAATACACATCGGACGGTTGCAATCCTGCGCAGACCTCAAGGGGAAATGCGCAGACAAAAAGCAGCTGTGATTGGTCCTTGTTATGCCTTTCCGGCTGTCTGTGTGGTCGTCCTTCTCAATTCGGTGCCGGGGAGCGCCATTTTTAGAAACCGAGGAGAAATAACAACAATGGATGACCATGACGAAAGGTTGATTGAAGAGGTTCGGCAGTACAACCACTTGGCTCCACTTGCTCTTTGGCGGGAAACTGCTGTGCGTCCCTAGAAATTCCAGACCNTGGAGTCAATTGCATGGATTTGCTGCAGATCAAAAACCGATACGTTAATGATAATATTCTATTTATAAATGTATGAAGGTAGATTTGGTTCTTTGTCATTCAATCAAAAAAAGGGTTGCTTTAGTCAAAAAAATATTTTCAATAAAAGAAAACTTCACTTCAAGGGGGAAAAAAAACTTTTCAATTAGAGAAAAGTATTTAAATGCAAAAATATATTTAATTGAACATTTTTTTTGTGATGGAAGTTCAGTCTTTTTTTGTTTAAAGCAACTTTTTTGGACCATACATGGGTAGGACATTTGTGTCTTAATAATTCAATTCCCAAAAAGTTGTTTTTATCAATGAGTGATAAAGAAACAAATCTACCTTCACATAAATATAGTCTATTTACGCACTGTGCGCAGGTTAATAAAAGCATAGTTGGAATAAAAATAAAACCGATTGCAACAATATAAAATAATCTATTAATATTATATAAACAAAATATATATATATATATATTTAAATATTCTTATTGGATTTTTAATTGTCCAGATGACATAACAACCAAACAACAGTCCCAGCATTAACAATGAATTGCAATAACATAGGGGAAATAATGTAAAACAAGTAAAAAAAAAAAAATCATCAACAACAACAAAAAACAAAAGGAATAATATATAAAAATAAGAAATTTGTGAGAAGAAAAAAATAAAATAAAATAATCATAATAATAGAAATGAATAAATAAATTAATTTCGACATGTTGCAGTAGGATTACAGAGCCTCACTCAATTCTGTTCCAGTTTTTCGGGCAGTTTTTCCAATTGAAAATTATTTATTTTTTTATTAATTAAAAAAAAAGATGAAAATAATGTAGAAACGGCTGCCAGACCTAGAATCTTAATATTATAATGATAAATATACAAAAGATATGCAGTTTGCTGTTTTTTTTTCTTCTAATTGTGCCTATATACACTCTGAAAACTGTTGAAGTAAAAACAACTCAGTTTAATGTATTTTACAAATTTTATTTTACTAACCTAGCCCTGGATAAAAATATAGATAAGTCCAGTACAAGGAAACACACCAACTGAAGTCAGCTTTCAGACGCACAAAACTGCCAGAGCAAAATCACCATAAAACAGCCTATCCAATAGTTTGGATCATGGGGGTAATTTTGGGGGGGTACAGAGGGAACATGTCCCCTGCACTTTTTCAAAAGACTGATTTGGTCCCCTGTACATTTTAAGGCAAATTTATACTTCCGACCCATAGCCCCTGCAACTGCCAAATCTGTCTTTGTGCGTGACCACAGAGGTTCGCAGAGGTTCTGCAACCGTCGTCGCGCACCTCAAAAAAATCCTCAATACACATCGGACGGTTGCAATCCTGCGCAGACCTCAAGGGGAGATGCGCAGACAAAAAGCAGCTGTGATTGGTCCTTGTTATGCCTTTCCGGCTGTCTGTGTGGTCGTCCTTCTCGATCCGGTGCCGGGGAGCGCCATTTTTAGAAACCGAGGAGAAATAACAACAATAGATGACCATGATGAAAGGTTGATTGAAGAGGTTCAGAAGTACAACCACTTGGCTCCACTTGCTCTTTGGCGGGAAACTGCTGTGCGTCCCTAGAAATTCCATACCTACGTTGCAAAAGCATACCAGCAAAACTGGTTTGTGACCAGATGCAAGCGACATTTGATGTGTGCGGTTGCAGAAGTATAATCCGCCCTTTTACGCTACAGTACACAGACAATGGTCGAGCACTAGGACCAAGTGAAAAACCGCAGCTCAAACTGAAGCCCACTTCCCTGAGTTTAGATGGCACACAAACTCCTGATTGGCCCACCGTCTTTTTTAGTGTGACTGGCTGTCACCGCTGTCACTCCTGAGAAGCTGACTTTACAAACATCTGATGCACCACTGAATGGGTCTGTGATGGGATGGCCAAACACCCTGAAATAAGTTAATAAAAAAAACAAACTTAAGTCCCCCCCCACTTCTGAAATCAAAATTTCATCCATGGTTCGGATAGAAAAAAATTGTTATCTGTAATTCACACTCCTATGAAGTGCAAGTTAGTTTTATTTGGTTACCCAACATTTAGCCTACAGTTTAAAAAGAATCTCCCACCATCTGGCTTTATAAACAAATAGATTTTAATATGAAAATAAATTGTGTTTTAATTTTTCATTTGCAAAAAGATAACATCTCAATTATTTTATGAAAAATTATAATAATTGGATAACAAATATTCGGTATGTAAAATACTGTTTTTTTCTGGAATATTTTTGTGGCCTTTTTTAGGTCAAAGTATAAACGCTGAACATGTCAATAATTCGTTTATGCTAAATAAAAGATATAAGGCAAACTTTGGTAAATGTGAAACAAAGGTTTCCTTAGATGTTAACAAAAGTGATCAATGAAACCTATGCGTTAGAATTCTGATACAGCATTCCAAAATTTGTTCATTCATTTTATATCTCTAGATGCTAAATTATTGCATATCAAAAATCAAGAATCTTTAATGAAATCATGGTTAAATTATGCTAAGAATGAGCACATTATAACTGGACAGAGATTAAAACCTCTTCCTGAAATGATGAACACAAACTTAGATAAAAAAAAATATATATATACATTTTAGCTGCATTCCAAGGTTAAGTATTAATAAAAGAAAACTAACTTCAAGCATTCGAGCATCTTTGTATATATCAATGGTCACTTTACAGTTCTGTAGCCTGTGAAAAATGATTGCTTTTATAACCAATGGAACAAATGACCCATCTCATGCTAGACAAGATAAATCCAGTATTTCTGGACACTTTTATTTGTGTTGCCTAATAATTTGAAATAGCTTTAATGATAAGATATTGGAGCAAATGTAAAAAAAAAAAAAAAAAAAAAAAAAAAAGGCAGATGATATTGTAGCAGAAATATAAAAATTTGACATTTCCTTCAGTCTCAGTATTACACTCAGCGTAGCAAATTATTTTCATGTCTACAGTAAATCTCTTCCTTGTATTTTACCTTATTACACAGTATAAGCCTTGGATATACCAAGGCTCCTCCATAGAGTTAATAATCCAGGTTGTCTTAGGAAAATGCAAACTGTAGAGAAATTATGTGCAACAATCCATCATGTTAGAATTAGTGAGGACCTGAGGAGAGGGATCTGAATTAATACCTTGGTAAATGGAAGTAATTAAACCAAAATCTAATTGAAGTCTGGATTTGTCACATTTTCCTCTTGCAGCAGGAAC